GGGCTACACCCTTGGAAAGCACGCAATAATTATGAACAGAGGGTGACAAGACCAGAGCTTGCAATTATTCTGGCTATGTTTTGAATTCAACACATAGGGACTGGAATGTGGTTGAATATTAAAATATTTTGATAATAGTAATAAGGGGTGACTGTGGAGCTGGTAAGAAAGCATAGCACCCATTAGAAATTCAAAGTACTCTTGAGACTTGATAAGATGTAAAAGAGGCATATATTGCCATAAAGAAATTTTAGTGCAACAACATAGTTAAATATTGTTTACAGAAATATTGATTGCATTGCCCTGAACCACGTACTTTTTTTGGAGAATTAACCCATGTTTACAGAATGTTGCACATGCTTTATTTAAATAAGGAGAGACTTCCTTCAGAACAAGGCAAAGTTTTACTTTTCAAGTGTCCACAGGTCCCCATAGGTGTCAGGCAGCTGAGGGGAGCTGCAGACACAGGCTAGCAAGCACAGCGGGGTTTGAGGAAAGGGGCCTTCCAAACCAGCCTGGGACCAGGGACTTTTAGTGTGCTCTTTGACAGACATTTCCTTTTCTAAAAAATTGGTTTTTTGTCTTTAGGAATAAAGACAGAACTACATTCTAAACCCACACATCCACACTGCTTTGGGGAAACTGAGTCATGAAAATTGCACTGAACAGTATTAAGGAACATAAAGCAATGGCATTTCTACTGATTTGTCCTCAATGTTCCAATCCCATGATTTACTTGAAAAATACAAATTTCAAGATCTGTAACCTCATCATAGATCAGTTTTCTAACCTTATACAATGAGGCCAGAAGCACATGATTTTTGTGTATTGATGAATTTTAAAACAACCTATGACCATTTTAACAACACAAAGTATTACCATTTGGGTTTTCATCAGCTGGAACTCTGGAAGATCAAATCAACAATTGAATAACACATAGCTGTCATACCAAACCATGCTTTTAATTATACTTAAGATGGAAGAAATGCCAATTTCTGAGTGAAGTGATCACTCTATTTATTTATGCTTATTTTCTACTAGATGAAAAAAATCCTTGAGGACAAGGATATGACTTTTTATGTACTGTCAGACTTAAATCAATAGTTGGCATTTAATAAATAATCAAAATGTTTATGAATAAATGATATTTAATTATATAACACATAGAGCCTACTATGCACAAAGTAACTACCCAAATTCTTTACAAATATTAATTCATTTAATCCACATTAAATAAAATCTTTTAAATAGATTTAGCCTTTTTAACCCAGAAAGGTTGAATTACTTGCCTGATTCACGCAGCCGAAAGTGATGGAGCCAGGAGTCTTGCCCGAGCACAGCTATGTCAGAATCTTTGCTCTTACCTTATATCACTTGCAAATAGACACTGTCTTTAAAACTTTAAGGACATAAATATTCATCCAATGTATGTTTTTAATGATGCAGTTGAACTCACAATAAGAAGGTATGGGTTTGAGCACATTCTTAGTTTACTTGATTTGTGGCATTAAGCAAGTTTATTAGCATAATGGAACCTCAATTTTATCATATATAAAATGAGGGCAGTATTTTTTTTTATCTCAAAAGCTTATTATGAGCTTTACAAAACTGATTTGTATGAAGATACCAGAACACAGTTGGCACCCAGAATGTTACTTGGTATGCCAAGGAGAATGGTTCTTAATTGTTTTCCTTTTCCTCTTTCAAAAGGTGCGTGTTTGCACATTGTATATCATATAAGTCTTAGCAAAAGGAAATCAGATTCTTTGCTTCATAAGGCATTGTTTTTTTTAACATTTCTTGGAGATAGAGTTCATGTACTAAATCATTTTCTGGATGGTCAGATAGCTTGTTTTCTGGGAAAAATCTTTTCTTAGTATCTGTTATGATTTAAACATCAAGGAATAAAATCTTTCTTCCAATTAGAAAATCAAGTTATATGCATCACATACATGGAATGAAAGGATAGACCAGCAATACAACAAATGACATTTATTTTCACCATGATCCTTCAACATTCATTAATCTATGAAATCCAAAGATCAGACCAGCAATTCAATAAGTGGCATTTATGTTCACCAAGACCCTCCAACACTAATAGATTTTATCAAATATTATGGAAAACTGTATCAGCTGATTCTTATCAGTCATGGTTACATGTTATAATCTCCTAAAGATGTTCATCAATATACAGACCTCTTCCCCAGATATCCTCATTTAATTAGGTTGGGTAGGGTCGGGCAAGCTTTTTTTCCCTGTTCTTTCATTAAATAAAAATTATCTCAGGGATTCTAATTTGTGGCTCAAGTTGAGAACACCAGATCAAGTTATCAATGAAACATCATTGGCCCTTTATCCTCACTTTACCTTTACTTTAATAAACAGCAACAAGAGATAGCATTTTTATTCTAATCAACATTGAAAAAGTCTAGGGGGTTTTCACAGAGAACAGAGATGCCACGGCATGATTGTACTAATATTTAGCTTCATTTCTTTAATTGCTTGAAACAGAGGCTATCTTTATTAATCTGCCACCCTCAAAATAACCGATGTATATTAAATTAATTAATATAATTAAATTAATTTTTCCATATAAGCACCTGAGATTTCCATATAAGCAACAACTCTGATTAGTCATAAGCTTCTGTGGATCAGTTATAATGAAGAGTTCATGTTTACTATTTTCAATGTGTTGGTCAATAAGCAATAAACAACACAAAACAATTTTACAATATGGTAAGTATTATTCTCATGGTTTTAGTTCTTAAAATTAACTGCCGAGGCTTAGAGTCATTGTTGCACCAAAACAAATCCCAGGTGAGGGTTGTTTGGGGCTCTTTTAAAACAGAATAGAAATGAATGTGAATACTGACAAACTGAGGACTTTGCAAACCCAGCCATCCTAGTTCCTCTCATAACAGAAGCATATGAAACCAGCAATTCCAGCTTTCCAAAGCTTAATTATTTAATTACTGAAAGTGTATTAGGCCAACAACAAGCTATTACAAATTATATTTAACAAACATCATAGCATTAAAAGCATTCCCTCTTCATCCTTAATGGCAAGTCAACCGGCTTGACTATATAAAATACTTGTCTTCTACAATCATTTCAGACACTTAAACTTGGACACTCGGCTATTTAAGATTAGCTTCAGGAACATAGTCAATCTTTATTTTATTTTGAACATTTTAGTCTCAGTTGCCCAATAATTTCAACAAATATCCTTTGCTCAGAGCCACTTAAACCACAGAGGTGGTCATGGACTCCTACAGATCACTTCTTCCTTTTCTGATTTACTATATATTGTTAGATTAAAGATATCAAGATTTAAAGATATAGAGCTTTTAGGCAGATTCCAGAAGCAAAGCTGGCATGATAGGTGACAAATTTAATTGCATTGTTAATTTTTGACTTTGGATTTCCTTGGACCTCGGGGAAAATGACTGTTTTGAGAAGAGGAATTAATTTGTTGAAATGTTTCTTGATGTCTTTCACCCAGGCTTGGAAAGAGCATCATGAAAAAGAGGGCTCTTTTGGAAACTATGCACACAACAGATTTTTCCTAATAGGTGTGAAGAATGGCTGCTATGCATAAATGATTGTTGGAAAATAATTCTTTGTAAAACATGACCAAACAAGCAACCCCATTCACTACTGTACTCAATTCCAAGACCATTCCAAGACTAAGAACAAGGCAACACATTATCTAGATGCTGATATTCTCTGCAAGTTATTTGCTAAACACCTATTAGGAAAAAAACCCCACAACTTTAAGTCTAAGAGTTAATACTCAATAAAATATAGACTAAAGGTTTTGAAAGAAAATTCATATGCATAATATTATGAAGAGCTCCTCAACACAAAATTGTAAGCTGTAACACCTTCCAAAGATGCCTATTTTTTTCTTTATTCATGGTAAAGTGAAGCAAGAGAGACTAAGCAACAGACTGCATCAGAACCTCTAACATCACAATCAAATCACAATTTTGCAATAAAAACCCAAAGTATCAATCTCACCACCACCTCTAGCTATTTCTGAGACCCCCAGATCTTTAAATCCCACTCACCCTCCAACCCTTCTTACCAGCAATTCTCTCTGAGTGTCTGGGCACAGCTCAGGCGTTCTCAGGAACTCAGGCTTCACTGGGCATCTCCCGGGAAGGGGATGCCAACCTCAGGGTGAGGTGCGCACCTCTCCAGCCAGGAGGGTCTGCAAGCGGCTGGGTGCAGCCCACCCAGGGGCTTGGGTGGCTCGCTTTCCTAGTTTAATGTGAGAGCAAACTGGGTTAGTCTTTTTGCAAGCCGCCTTGCCCCCCTACCAATTTCCAAGCACTTTAAGCCTTCTTTAAAGGATAGGTTCAAAGTCCAAGGCTGTAAGCTAGCCCGAAGGCAAGGGTCCCTTTCCCGTTGCTCTCTGCTCCCAGAAGCGCGGGACGCTCACCTAAGCGGAGCCTGCCTCTGCTCTTCCCCAGATGAGGCTGTGCGCAAACTTCTCCGACTTAAGTCCTTTTCTGTGCGCTCCACCCCCGCCCTTCGCGAGACGCGCTGTCGAGGCGGGGCGGACGCTCGCAGAGCCCGCTCCGCTCGGCCCCTCCCTTCACTCCAGGCCTTCCAGCCTTTCAAGGGGGGGTCTGGGGGCCCCTCCAAGTGCCCCCGAGACCCCCTCGCCCCCGGCGGGAGAGGGTCGACCCCTCCCCACCTACCCCACCCCTTCACACCCCCCTCTACCCCCCCGAGGGTCCCGAAACCCCTGCGCTGCGCTCCGAGCCCCGGGAAGCAGGAGAGGGTCCCTAGTTAGTTATATGAGTGGGAGGGACTAGGGGGTCGACAGACTGGGCAGAGAGACATCCGTAACCGGTCCCTGGAGGCAGCTTTCTGGGAATCCAGCCCCTTCCCCGAGGATGCAAATTCCATAGGGAGGTGAGTTTCCCAAAGAACGCTAACCCAGAGAGAGTGGCACTGTATGTAGTTCTGAGAGCGGTCACTCCGAGGACCGCGCCAGCGACGCGGCGGAGAGTGTGCTCTGTAGTGGGGCGCGGTAGTAAAATTGGGGTGGGGGCGTGAGAAAACAGCAGACGGAGATCGGGAGTGCTGAGTAAGGAGCCCGGAGGCAGAGGGTAAGAAGACAGAGGGTCCTGCAAGCCCCGGACCGCTCCGGATTTGGGCAGGTGCAATCTAGGGAGCAGGTCGGATTTGGAGGGACATTTTCTTCACATAAGAGGACGTTGCTGATATCTTAGTGACAGAAGTGAGGATAGCTAGAAAGGAGCGGAGTCTGAGGTGCCTGACTTGTGGAGGACAATTCCGCTCTCCACAGAAAGCCGGCAGGAGCCCGGGACAATCCGATTCCAGGCGGGGCGCAGCGGGGACGGCAGGCGCACCCTGCGAGGCAGGCAAGTTGTTTCTAAGGGCGGGCTGCCCCCCACCTCCTTGTGTCCGGAGCTGCGTGCACTCAGGCGGCAGCGGACACGCAGCGGACACTTTTTTTTTTTTTTTTCCTATTCAAGGAAAAGCTCGGAAAAGCGGCTACCTGTTTGTCCCGGGAATGCAAGGTGGCTGTAGCCGTCCAGGTTACTAACATACCTGAGCAAAAGCAATAGTAATAATAAGGTAGGGGTTGGGGGAAGCCAGAGAGCGATGCAAAACTCTTTCCTAGGCACTCAGAGGTTAAGCGCTTGGGCAGTTCTGGGTGTCAGAGATGCAGGTGTCTTTGAAAGGGGCTACAGCCCCTTGCTGCTCATGCATTCTTGGAGATCAGTGACTAGGCAAAAGTGTGTGTGCTTCTGTCCTAATTTGAACCCTGACTCTTCAACTGAGAGAGACTACAGGGGTCCTTAATTTGTGTAGTTTGGGACTTTTATTGTCTTAGTGGAAGACAGAGTCCAGGGACAAATCAGCTCTTCCTTGGGGGGCGTCTTTGTAGGCTCCCTTTTTTGTATAGCCCCCCTGCCACTTTCAGTCTGGTGACCCAGAGGGCTGAGTGTGACCCATCATGCATTCAAACCTAAAGCACCACCCCAGTGCAGGGGGAGAGTCTTCATCCTCTTCATTTCCCGGGTCTAAGTGGCAATAATATTGTTAAGAGTATAAAGTGAGACAAGGAGAGGGACTGGACATTCGGGTGAGGAGGGGGTTTGCAAGGAAACATGCTGAGTAACAGAAACAAAACCTTTAGGTGAAGCTGTCTATTTATACAATTAATTTGTGCTAATGTAAAAAATTAAAAGTGACCCTCTAAATTCAGGCTTCAGATGCAATTCTTGGCTGTATGCTTTAACATCTGTCTTCGGCTCAAAGGCTCTCTGATTTCCCAGTTGCTGCTGGCCATCTGACATCTGATCAGAGCTGCCTTTAAAAATTCTTTTTGAAACTTTCTTTGCCTTCTTTGGGTTTTATTATTATTATTAAAATTGTTCACATATCTCTTACAGCAACTGCTGGGGGTCAAATGTTGAGAATTCTCCTTTTCCTAGCTCAAACCATCAAAATATCACTTAATTAGAGAAACGGTAGTGTCCCTGCTCTGGCACTGAGTGATACAGCAAGTGCAGAGGGATTGGCTGCTGTTGTTGTTTGCTGACCCTTGGGCATCTCACCGTATTGGTAACAAACAGTAGTATTTTAAGAGCAGATTGGATTTGTGTCTGTAAAGCCGTAAAGTTCCCTTGACTCAGATGTCTAAGAATTATTTAAAAAAAAAAAAAACAGCACACGTATGTTAGACAGTCTCAAACCATGTGTGGTGTAAGCACTGGCAACCTCGACTAATTGGAGTGCTTATTGTGTCAGAAATAATCTTCGAGAAGCAGGAAGTCACTGTAGCCAGATTTCAGGGAAGCTGGAGTAAGATCTGGGATGTCTCTCAGGGGGATTAAATTAACTTTGCCTGCTACTTTAATACCAAAATTGCTATGCACCTGTTGGAGGCACTTGGAGGCACAAGAAGCGTAACTCTACTGTTGTCTTAAGGCTTCCAAAATATTTTCTGTGTGGTCTCCAGAGGGCAGATGTTGATGTGGGGACCATTAAGAAGGATTTGCATGGTTTTGTTGACCTTTTGAGAGTTACTGCTTTTTCCTACAATCAATTTAGTGAAATGGAGTAGAAAATGGCAGAATGGAGTGTGTTTGGGAAGTATGGGTGCTGTTTCTTTAAAGTTCAGTATCACTTCCCTATGCCTGGACTGTACTGAAAAAAAAAAAAGATTTCTTCCTGGGGGTCATAATCTAAGGTGGCATAAATTTGATTTGTGCCGAGCTGCTGCTTTTCAAACTGGATGCCTCATATGTGTAAACAAACCTTTGAATAAAAGAAGTTTGTCAAGGGAGCATTCAGGAAATAAGCACCTTAAAACTGGTAATCCTACATTTCTGGAATTGTCACTAATTACTTTTGACTTCAAAATGCTGCAGCTTTATGGGAGGCTTTGCGTTCTTTGGTCCCTCTTTAAACATTTTGTCCTTTAGACAGCTGTGAGTTTAGGGAGACTCAGTTATAAATCTTGTCTCCCTTGTTTGGCGCCTGAAAAACTAACTGCTTTAGAAGCAAACTCCACCTCTGTCTAAAACTCTTCAATTTTCATTGCCCAGAGTGTGGAGTCTTGCCACGCTTGAGGTAATGAGGTTGCTGTTCGGCTGTACAGTGAAACCCTGGGATCTGCCCACATCTGCCCTTCAGCACTGGGGTTACAGGCATGAGGTGCTGGGCAGGTGGGTACTGGGCTCCGGACTAAGTCCTCATCCTTGATCTGCGAGCACTGTCCTCATGAGTCATTTCTCTAGCCCTGAGTTTCTTCTCCTTTTAAGCTTCCTGGCATTGAAATACATTCCAGGCTGTTATATACCATTTAAAGCATATTTAACATTACGTGGGTCTATAATACACTGGGTTAGACACCCCTGTGGGACCTGATCAGTATAATATACAATTCCCACCCTCAGGAAGCCCACCGTCTCTATAAGGACATGTATCTCTTTCTTTTTAGCCTTCCATACACAGCAGCTGGTGGTTATCCTGTATGTAATTACCCTTCAGATTTACAGACCTCAGGATGACAGCAAGAATAATAATTCACCTTGGTGAAAAATAAATTTTTTCCCTTGAAATAATTTGAACTTTGACCTGATAGATCATGCTTTTCTGGAAGAAAGTCGGCTTTGATTTTCAGGCTCTGTTTCTGAAACGGAGCTGGTACATCTCACAGGGGGCCGCACGGTGATATTTCTCAGAACGCAGCTCCTGGCAGCAGAAAACAAAACACCAAACTAAAGCAAAGCTCAACAACAAATTCCACGTGAACTAGGAAATGTCTTTCCTAATTATACTTAGTATAAACTTTACTTGGGTTAACTGTTAACCCCGTGAATAAATAACCCAGAGTAGGAGATGGTGGCAGGCCATACCCTACTGGGCAGTAATGAAAACTAATTATTCCATGTCTGATGAAGTTGGGAATATATACTTCCTGTTTTATAAAGAGAATTCCAGAGAAAAACCCAGGAGCCGGCGGGGGGGGGGGGGGATCTGCAAAAACAAATGTATGCATTCATTCATTAAAAAAACATGAATAATTGGGCACTGAGGGTTTACATCCTAGTTGGGTGGGGGGAGGCAAATAATGATACGCAGAGTGAGCAGTGGTGAATTTCAGGCACTGGCAGTATCGGGGAGAGACAAGCACGGCAATATTGCTCCACATGTCAGGGAAGCTTGTCCCTGAGCTGAGACCCTCACACTCACCAGGAAAATCCTCACGATTTGCTTGCCCCTCACCCCCTCTTAGAGATGCCATTTGGTCAGGAATCGACTCCTCTTGGGATTGTGCATGTGTGGGCATGTGTGTCTCTGTAAACGGCTCTCTGTAATTTAGTTGTATTTGGTCTGTGCTCGGGAATTTGGAAGATAGGAGGTGTGGGATGAGTAGCCACAGTTTTCTGTACTTCTGAGGCTGCTTCATATTAAGTTATATTAGTAGAGAAAACTCTCACATGGTACTAACCTTTTAGCTTAAATTGTCAGAGTCTCTTGTCAGACTGCTAAGAGGTAGATACAACTTCCTCTAGAGTTACAGCAAAAACTTAAATTGTCTTTAATAGCTGTGGTTCCTAACTCTCTGTTTTATAGTGAAAAACCAAGAGTTTTGTCGTCTCTTCCTTATTGAAAACTTACTCTGCACTGTTCTATTTTACCAAGCATCGATAGCATTATCTTATCTTAATTCTATGATGCAGGCATATTTCATTATGGTTGTGCAGGTGCATAGGCAGATGCGGAATGTGTTTTGACAAAATAATGAAGACTCGATTGCAGGATGATTAATTCGTACATATACTGGATGGCAGTGTTTCAATCAAGGCAAGAATGGGCATCACCTGTCCCCTCAATTCCAGTCCTGGCTGGTAGGAGAACAGAGGGAGAGAGAAATACACAGGGCTGTAAGGGCACAGGGTCAGACTGCTTCGCTTCCCATAGGCTTGCTTCCCTAATTAGGAAAAAACAAAAAAACACAATCTTATGATTCTAAATAGCAGGAGAGGCCCATGGTAGGCATCTATAAATATTTCAGAAATAGATTTTAATTATAGACGTTTTCAGAGAAGGTGACGAAGGTGTACAGATCTTTCAAAGGCAGAAATTGCAAAAAGCAAAGAAACCTCCAGTGTTACAAGAAAGCACAGGACTGGGGATAAGGAGAGGATTGCATGGCAGAGGAGACGAGGGGAGAGCATGCATTTCTTCCCTGGGGTGACCCTGTGCTCCTCTTGTCCCCAGGGTGCCGTTCTTCAAGATTGATTACAGGAAATAAATTGATTACAGATGACTGTGTGTGTCGGGAGAGCGAAATCATGCCTTCAGAACCTCGTTACCTGCCTCTGCCACTTCGGTGGCAGCTTCTCCGGCTTTGCCTTCTCCACTTCAAAGGGGGCAGTGTTTTCCCACGTCCTCTTCATTACTGCTCTGTTTACAGAACGTGTTCTATCTGTTGTCTTGTTTCACCTTGTTGCCTAAACCTTTTTAGATGATTTTTCCCCCTCAGGTTTCAAAATCTTTACTTGATAGATTCTGTCTTCCCCTTTCTTAAAGCACATTTTCGTGTGCTGTTGTCTGTCAGTGATGG